AGAATTGGATATCTTTTAAAGCCCGCTCTCCAACCTAACAGCAATGGCCTCCAACCTAATAGCGATGGCCTAATAGCCATATAATTAAAGTCTAAATGGAGGTAGCTTGCATTAGCTTGCACTCTTGGAGTAAGGCCTTGTGTGAGTTCGGCCAGTGGCCGCTTTACTCAAGACTGTTTCGTCGGTATCAGCTATGACCGCCTGTACAGTAAAGCAGCTTTCCCAAGCCGTCTCTCCCATACCGCCGGTCTGATTTTGGCCGTGATGACAAGTGAAAGCAACGAAAGGTGCCTCCAGCACAAACTCTAGCACTTGGTCAGCAAAGTGGCGGTTGAGGTTCGCAGCGAAAAGGCCTAATGTTGTATGTGCAAATTGGCTTTTGGCATTGCAAAAGGGGAGCATGAGTCTTTGGCCATGCCACGCCAGCAAATCCATCGTCATGGCCTGAGTTGCATTTCCACCCAGAAAGCGCAATAGGACTTGTCGTGATCGAAAAGACTTGACACTGGCAAACAGCGGAGAGCATGCTTCAGCAATTCATGTCCACTCTCATAATGAAATGCGGAAGGAAAGTCAAAGAAAAGTCGCTTATGTAGGTAACAGAGGCTAGCTTAATGTCTTCCCTCTTCTGTCTGATTGTTGTCCTACATGTCGGACATGGAAAAGCCCACAAAACATCAAAGGCCACAAGGCTCTCACTACCTGGCCCAGCGCATTTTGCTGCCATCCTGGACCATGTCCCGTGTACTTCCTCAAATCATCGAGTGGAAAAGTCTGAAAATCTTAGGACGTGAAAATCTTAGGCAATGTCCCTCTTGCCAAGGCAACGGTGGCGCGCAAGGCTGCTTCACTCACCTCCTTTCGCAGCAAGGACCATGTAGAGCAATGGTGGCAGCTCTCACTCTAGGCATGAATCTCAGCAAAAACTCGGAATATATTTTTGTCTCGCTGTTAAGCCTGCTACATTCAGCTGTCAGCTTCGGAAAGCAAGGGATTCAAGGCAAGGACTCGGTGCGCGCTGCCGAAGAGGGCCGCGCACCCTGTTTCATGGAGCCACATTGGTCTCAGGGGTCTCACGTCTCTCGCGTCTCACGCTTATAGACCCACCAGGCAGTCTTCTCGCTCGAACAGGTTGTCTCAATACGTAGATGATCCTCGCAAAAATACGGAGATCACAGACTTCGACCATCTACTTTGCTGAATGGTCCTTGTCAAGAAAGTACTGGCACGTTCTTGTCCACTGCTTTGGTTGCGCTTTCTCCAGATCAGTACCTTTCCAACGCAGAAGATGCGGCGTGTGCGGGTCCCAGTATGTTGTTTGAAGGAAGTCAAAGTCGCCACCATTTACCTCAGCACAGCACAGTACCATGGGAGTGGAAAACAATACAATTCAGTTGTGGAGTGGCCTTGTTCTGACTAGACTAGGTGCCTTCTGCTCCTCCCCATTCACGTCAAACTCTTGTGTCGTCTCCTACGGTTCTGCTGAAAAATAGCAACAAAAACAACAATGGTAGTACAGTAATAATGACCTAGAAAAAGAAAGTACTGCTGTTTCTTGTTTTTTTCCCGTTCCCCGTTCCCATTGCATTTCTTTCTTTCTCAAATCACTTATTCATACAGTCACAAGAGTTCCAGGTGTCCTGAATCGCGCTTTCAGTGACTTTCATCTTAGAGGAAAGCAGCATACAGCACCACACAAAATTGGTGAAACGTCAGGATTGTGTTTGATGAATGTACATTTCAGGAGCCAATGCTCTTTTGAGGCCCTGGCATGAATGCCATTCTGCTCGTACGTTCTGCAAACCGTGCCCTTCCCCCAGCCAAAGCTCGCCATAAATTTGCGGGCCAAATAGCCTCCAATCGCACATCGTCTTTGCGTCTGTGCGTCTCTGCTGCAGAATGATCGAACAAACATTTTATACATTTTGTGATTGGCCCTCGTTTCATGGCAGTTGCCTATTCCCATGTCCGCGAAAACTGCGTCAAGTTCTCCACCAGCTTCCATGCATTTCCAATGTCCTGTGAAGTTCACATGCCCGTCCGCTTCAAGATGCTCTGCAGGGGGCAGTGGCACAAACCTCAACTCAACTTCTCTTCACGTGCACTGGTTCAAAGGCCAAGCAAGAAAAATGCCAAAAACTATCTTCTGTCAAGATGCCCTACTGCAGGCTCGCCCTGCAGAGTTGCCCCCTGTCGAGCTCCACTCTGTTGAGTTTCCTTTGGTCAAAATTTGATGTCAGTATGTAGGGGGAAGCTGAATTCAAGACAAACATTTTCTGGCCATCACAAACCCTAAGGAATCTACAGTTTCATCACCCAAATTGGAAAGAAACGGACAACGTCTGAGGGCTTCGCCGGGTCCATGTGCTGGCTGCCTTCCCTACCCCGAAAAGATCTGATCCACGATAGAATCCCAGCACCACCTGGAGTGAGTGTAAGGAGATCTCTCAGCGCTTAGACTCAGACTCATACGAGTGAAAGTGATCCAAATGCTGCCAAAGGTACAGCAGCAGTCGCCTTGTGGTGCCAAGGTCAAGACTCCGGTGATTCATCGAATTAGTGGAGCAGTCAAAGGTCCAAGTCTACCAAGGAATTTCTCTGTCTTGCCAAGTCTCTGGAGGAAGTCGAGCGTTGAGACGCTGTTCCATTTTTCTGCGATGCAGGAGAAAAAGTCATGAGGCATGTGTGATTCTTGTAGCGCCAAGCTGAATCTTGTCCACGCGTTTTGCGATTGATTGACTTGTTCCTTGTCCGAGACAGGAGGAAGAATCTCTGCAGGAGAATCCTGACAACATATATACTCCATCTGTGTTTGCAATAGTGTAATGTAATGGTGTGTATATATATAATTGAAATCAGACTCTCCTTTATCGAGGCCCACTGCGACGGCATTGGGCAACAACAGCAAGCAAAAACTGCAGCGCCGAGAAGGAGAGCGCCTGCAGGAATAACATGAGTTTTTGTTTTTCAAAAATGATATTAGAGTACATGATCGAGCATTTTAGGGAAAGCGTTCATTGACTATCAGTGCCCGAACCTGCCTCCTAACAAGCAGCCTGAGATGTTGGCGCTCATAAGCAAACTCGACACTTGCACCAGTGCCTCAGACTGTTTGCAGGTTGAACTCTCAGCGATAGAACGGTGTATTCACGGTCATTTGCATTCATTTGCCAGTTTCCGCTACTGCGCCTCTTCCGTTGACCCTACTTTGGAGGATTTCCTCAGTTTGGTGTTTCAAATGTCTGTCATGGCTATACAGTACATGATTGCCACTGGGAGTACCTAGTTTCTGTAACACTGGTACACTGCTTCCCTGCATCATGTATTCTTTTGGGGCAAGTCTCTCGTGAAGCACTGGCGGCCCAATCTGAAGCAGCGAGACCACACTTTCAGCCTACCAGTGTCGGATTTTGTTGGCGACACTGCCGAACCACATTCGCATCTCTCCTCTCCAGCTTCTATGTACGGCGAGATCATGCGGCATGCCTAACACGGGAAGAAAAGCAGCAAGAACCTTCCAAAGTGGCTCGAAGCATGATTTTTGCTGCCTGCACTGCTCGGTGCCAAAGAGCACATGCCGCCAGCACACGGACCATGAGCCCGCATTTATCGGGCTGCTACAAAATAGTTCGATATCAAATGGTTGAACCTTTGAACCAAAGTACGAGGAAGTGATCCACCAAAAGTAACGACAACACTGTGTCGAAACATGTTCAACAATGATCCAAGACTTGAACTGGTCATCAGCTTGTGTCAATCGACAACAAAAAGGCGTCCTGCACCCAGCCTGCCGGCCCGAACCTCGGTCATTCGGAAGGGTTCATGCAAAGTACAATGTTCCAACAGCCTGCATTTCCTCATATTCCCTAAAATATGCAAATAGCTTCACATATTGGTAGTCATGAGGCCAGGCAAAATTCAATAATGGCTGAAGGATATTTAGAGCCTAGAGCCTAGGATACGATATGATGATGTGCCTGGAGTCTAGGATCGTGGCTTTTTTGGTTTATCTGTCATCTGTCTATGTTTATGTGGCATTCTAGAAGAATTCTGGAAGACTTGGAATGCAATTGATTTCAGTCATGTGAGCCACACCGCAACCGTCCTCGTTGCTACCCACCGAGTAACTGAACTTCACGGAGTGAGACCAAAGCGGCCTCGCCCTCGCCGCTAGACCGCTAAGGAACTAAGTAACTTCTAGCGAACGGACGCAGGATAGCTGATAGCTCACACTATTCATTTGGTTCCTAGATTTTTAGGAATGGTCAAGGAGATTAGAGTCGTGGTTGTTGCAAGGTCCAAGCAAACACCTCCTCATCATCCAAATGGATTACGGATTCACATCCCATGCTCCACATCCAGATACATCCAAACCATGCCATAGCTCACCAAACTCTTTCTCGCACAACAAAGGCCATTTCTGCCACGCCACCAACTGCCAGACACCACACCACCCTGTCATCACCATATGCCTGGCAGCACCTTTACAGTTTACAGTGCAAAGCTTCAATACTGTCAATACTCACAAAGCCCTGCATCCACCTCAAACCCACAAGCGTGATACTGCAACTGCATCCCGCCATCAGTATACTTCAACCCTCAGCAGATTATTCCGTGTGATGGTAGTTAGCGCAACGATGCCTTCAAAGCCTCTATATTCTATATGGAGCCAGCATCAAATCTGCCTTCTGGCTTACGACTGTTTGCAGGAAAAGCTTGTCTTGCCGTTTTGTCGACGTCATTGTGTCCCCCAGTTTAGGTCCAGACTCGCCACAGAGATGCACAAACTCATCCCACTCTAGGACCTCAGTGATTCTCCTAAATCAGCTGAAGGGCAGCGTGCAAATGTAGGGCCCTCACCTTTTCACATGTTGCAAGCGCAGCATTCGGAGAAGAAACGCCAGAGTCCGGGTAGTCCTGCGCCAGGAATCTATTGTTTCACACCAAGGCAGCAAGAAATCGAAGAATTGGCAAGGTGTTGGCACCAGCCAGTCTCCTGCCAGAGTTTCAGAGCCTTTGACCAGCTGCTGTGCTTGAGGCATTTCAGGAGGACCAGGTTGTAGAGCTGGCCAACAAAGACAAAAGCGACAAGAGTGAGATATATGATAAATGCAAGAAAAATTAGACAAAACGGAAGGTGTAAGGGCATGCCACCAGCCCACAGGTGGCCATTTATGTCGTGTCAATGTTCAAGGAGCAGGCCGCTTTAGGCCTTCGACTCGGAGCCTTTTGCTCCGGCTTTGTACAGTTTCAGCCGCGAAGAACTCTGTAGTTGAGCCTGCAGTCACACATACGAAGAAAATAGTCAAGTCACTCTGCACAGGGTAGGCTCTCTTTCTCAGCAAAAGCTCTCTCAGCAAAAGTCTCCTTGGAGGACGAGGTTGAGCTTTTGCGCCACCTGAGCTCCGAAGTACAGCACTTTCTGTTTTTTGTCTCGCATCACGGTAGAGACCGGCCTTTGCATTCCGGAGGGCATGACTTCACCGGCTTTGCCTCTCAGGTACTCAGCTAGCAAACCACTTCTAAGACTGTAAGATGGCCATGTTGGTCCTCACTGTTCCATGGACGCCGCTCATAGTGCTGCCGACAAACTGGGCCTGTAGAAACTCAAAGTAAAGCCCAAGACTGAACCAACAGAAAGCATTGAAAACTAGCATTGTGCTTTCTTTTTCACTTGCTCGGCACTTGTTCCGCACTTAACCTTTCTCATCCTCTTTCAAAGCTCTAGGAGTTCGGCAGAGGTGGACCTTAACCAAAACTGAATTTCTTCTGAACGAAAACACCTATTCACTGAGCCAATCGCTTCGAAGACATGGAATGATTCAAAGGACATAATGCAGCAACGATGGAATACCTGAGGGCCAAAAGACATCACCTCGAAACCCCATGAAACCCATGAGACAATCTCTGAGGTTCCTGGCATGTGTGCAGGATAGTAGTTCCACTCGATCGCCTTGCGCTTTCACTCCACATCACACCGCCTAATGTGCCAAACTTGGGCCATGGCTTTGTCGATCTGCCAAATGGCAAGGTTGAAAACAAATCGGGCAGTCAACTTCTTCTCCACGACCTGAGTACCCACTAGCATTGGCCTCCAACCTGGTAGCAATGGCCTCCAACCTGATAGCAATGGCCTCAAACCTCATAGCAATGGCCTCCATCCTAAGAGCAATGGCCTCCAACCTACTAGCAATGGCCTCCAACCTGATAGCAATGGCCTCAAACCTCATAGCAATGGCCTCAAACCTAATAGCAGTCGCCTCCAACCTAGTAGCAATGGCCTCAAACCTAATGGCAAAAGGCCTCCAACTTGGCCTCTAACCCAATAGCGATGGCCTCCAACCTAATAGCAATGGCCTCCAACCTAATAGCAAGGGCCTCCAACCAATAGCAATGGCCTCAGCAATGGCCTCCAACCTAATAGCGATGGCCTCCAACCTACTAGCAACGGCATTTTACTTGCAGAAGGGACCCCCACTGGCAGGGGAAGGGGCTGAGTGTCAGAGACAGATAGCAACCTAGAAGAATCATGCAACACGCTCAGAAGAAGACGGTGACGATGTAGATTCACAAAAGGGCTCGGAGTTCCAGCTTTCAAGCGTTTCTGTAGCACATCCCAAGTGGCTCCAGGCGGAGACCAATGGAAACGACACAAATCAGGCATGGAATCAAGCTCAAGTCCCGGCCACCAACCATAGGCAGTGGGTCGGATATGTGATTTGAATTCTTTTTGGATCAAGTTCCCAACACGCTGCTGTTCGGGATAGGAAGGTCTGTGCGACCAGCCAAACACACAACTGCCCGCTCCCTGTCTGTATAAAGAGCACACTCTGGCGCGGCGAACATGCGAAGGCACCAATGGCACACCACACAAGGAGATGGTCTGCCCAACCATGGTGGCGAATTGGATTGCACACTCATTCCAAGAGTAGTTACAGGCAAGGGCTTCAGCAGGGCTATGAGCCCAGGCAACCGAATTGTCCTCGCCTCCTGAAGGGTGGTGCACTGGGATATACCCTCGAGCATAGAGCATAAAGCTTATGACCGTCTCCATCCAAGAGATGCCTACCAGGACATTGTCTTGCAGATTATCCTCCTGAGGCCACTGGAAGGCGCTTAGCCATTCAAGAATACACTCAAGCAAGGACGAGCCCCAGTAGGAAGAGGCAAAGCAATTGGAAGCCCTGGCGCCCTCGATATACAACGTCCATGGATTCGTCACAGATCAAGTGGCCATACGAGCATAAAAGTCCTGTGCACCTCGGGGCTCCTGCGGATTAAAGGAAGCAGGATTCATACTCCTTACGAGAGCGCTGAAGGACCAAAGAGAGACGAAAAAACTCAGAAAGCTCGCATCTCTGTTTTACGAGTCAGGGCTCGGTTAGAGTTGGGTAGCAACGAAGGCACACGTCTTCTGCAGCTCTGTCAGCCACTGCATTACCGAGGGGATGGTAGCAGAGTAGATCAGGCACAACGAGTAGGGATCATCGTGACCCTTAATCTTAACTACCTTATTGACATGGCTGTTGGACAAATTGCGAATGCGATGGCAAAGAGCCGGCTGTGGATGTTTATGCAGTTTGGAACCTACACACTTAGCAGCATGACCAAATGTGGCGATAGCTGCGGCAGAGTGCATGGTGTGGCCTCCAACCTAATAGCAATGGCCTCCAACCTAATAGCAGCGGCCTCCAACCCATTCAATAGCAAGGGCCTCCAACCTAATAGCGATGGCCTCCAACCTTAAAAACATGGGGCACTGGTCATCACGGTCTGCACTTGAAGTTGAGTATATAGGCATTGGTGCAACCTAAGTGCCGATCAGCGGGCAGCTCTCCGTGCTGATGACCATGACCATTGCTCTGTCCCTCACGTCTCAGAACGCCAACTGTCACAAAACATCGAAATGTTCGGGCACAAATCGCAAGTCCCTCCAAAAGGCCTTTGACAGCGGAAATGACCTTTGCCAGCAGCAAATCTCAATCTCCAAAAAACCTTGGGGTTCTGAGATGCTCACTTCTGCCTGTGAACCATCAGGCGGAGGCTGAATGCCTCCATGTAGTTGCTCAAAGCCACACAACCCGTCACCTCAACAACTGGGAGTGTCAATAGTGCCATGTTCCAAGATCGCAGGGAACTGCCTGCAGCTCAGACTGGCACGGATAGCAGCAGAGCTCTTGGCCACACTTCCATCCAGCTCCTGAAACAATCCAACTGACCTCACTACACTGCCAGCAAAGAAGTGTCGTTTGTCCTCAAGGAATTTATCAAGAGCATCTTCATGGTCCTCAAGGAAATACAAGCGTTCTCTGGACTTTCATAGATCGTTCCATCTGATTTCAGCTTAGATCTTGGAGTCTCCTCACAGGCTTTCTCCAACTTTCCGCCCAAGACCTAACTCCAATGCGATCAGAAGCGAGCCAGGAGGCAGAGTCTGCGGCCTGAAGGGCCTTTCCACAAAAGCGTCTATGCCTTGGAGAACTCTAGAAATGCCAGAAAATGTGTCCTTTCTTCAATATCTTGAGGTTGTGGCAGTGTAGGGGCCTCTTTGCGAACGCTTGGAAGACGCAGCTCATTAAACAGCCTGGGGTCGAAGGCCACTCACTGACAAAGGGTGAAAGGCTGTCTTTAAGCTACGAGCACGGCTCAAGTCTAAGTCTTGGAGCAAGGCTCTTTTCGGCTCAAGTAGCCACGCCATGCCCGCTGAATACGACTAGCGCATTTTTTGCGCCAGACCTCATTCAGCACAAAATGCAAAGAGAAATTGAGAAGGTGTGGTTGGAGACTTGACCAAAGCACAAGAGGAGGCTGATTGGGACAAATGTTGAGATGGCGGAGAACTGTGCATTCCGGCGGTACCAAAGAAATGCCCAATCGATTCTACGCTGCGAGCAGTTCATTCCAAGTTTCGCGCCATGAGTCCTGAATGATGAATTGTTGCATCAAAATAGGGACATCGACCTTGATTTCGTTGTCTTTGCCATTGAGAGAGATTCAGAAGGACCTAGACCTACACCTGTTGGACCTGTCAGTTGAAGTCAGGGCGCATAGAGGGCATTGCCTTTTGCCAGCAAATCTCTCAAAGCTGCGCAGGCACCTAGCAACACTACCAGGCTAGCACATGCAATTTTGGCTCTGCTCCATATCTGAAGGTCTGGGTAGTGAACTCACCGTGAAAAACGTGGCTGCAACCTGGATGAGATTTGCTGTATACAGATTCTAGACAAAGGGAAGAAAAAAACAAGCACAAAATAATGATTTCTTTATTGAAATGGAACAAAAAGCTTGAAATATTGTTTTTAGCCTGGAGATGCCTGGAGGTATCTTTTGGGACCCGGCTGAGGATCACTTGGGGGCGCATCCGAAAGTCCTCAAGACCTTAGCAAGGGTGCACAAAGTGCACATGGTGCCACAATGCGCCCAATTAAGGTGCTGCACAAGAAGGTTGACAATATAGTGAAAACAAGAAGAAGCGTGAAAGCAAAGTGACCCCCATAGCTACCTCTGTTCTGTTGGCTTGCCAACGGGCCAATCATTGAGATTTGTCTGGCTTGGGTGTCTAATCCGCCGGCCTTGCCGGCGTGTCTTGTGGATGTTCCTTGTTCGTAGTTTGGTTTGTATTGTGGTCTTTGTCTAAGATTGTCCTGCGCGCGGATTTTTAACCCGCCTGAATTGAAGTACCCCCCCTCTCCCCCCCCTCACCTCTTCTCATCGCTCTTCTTCTTCCTCTGCTTTCTTTTTTTCAACTCCAAGGCAAATAACCCAGGCAAGGTAACATTTATACTGTTCTTTGCGTTTTACATACAGTTTGCTCCTAGGGTAAGCGCTGCGGTCTTCCCCGAATGTCCTCCAGCTTCTAAACTTAGCTTTTGTAGCCATCCCCAACCAAAAATCCAATGCACGGTAAAGCCGATGCCGTTCCCCTCCCCCATGTTTCGCAGTCTATCCTATCCCTGTGCTAGTAATGCTATCGCTGTTGGGGTGCATCTCCGTGCGTCACTGACATAATTATGCATTATGTTTGAAATTTGCCAAATGCAAAGCTACAGCATCAATTCACTTCTGAGCATTCAACAAATACTGCACGGCACTTCGCTGTCTTCTCGAGTGTCAGATCTATGCTTCACAACCTCCCACTGCCTTGGGAGTCCAAAATAGCTCGGTTCGAGTTTCAAGCACTGGAAATGTTTGGACCTTATTACCCTTCCCCACTTTGTCTACATTAGGCGAAGGCTGAAGGCACGGGCATACTTGTCAGTGGCTGTGCTGGTTCAGCTACAAGACCCATTCGCTGTGCCAACGACAGGGATGCCTCCAAGCTTTTTAAAAATGTCTTGATAGTTCTCAGTGAATGCTCTTTGCCTGATGGCGTCGGATCTTCTCGTCATAGTCAAGTTCCGCGTGTCCTCTCATCTCAACTTGACAAATCATGACAAATCTTCATGCGAAATCTGTGACACTGTGACACTGTGGACTGTGACGTTTCTGCTGGGTTGCTGGCGAAATCCCGATGCACTCGGAGCACTCCTGGACTGTGGAACAGCACACGGGACAGGGAAAAAACAGGCGTTCTCCTGGAAGGCTGAGACAAGCCAGAATGTACTTGACTTTCCTGGCTGAATTCCCCACACCAAGGATACACCGGTGAACCTGCCGCCTGGTTGTTTGAGTGTTCTTCGTTCGCTCGCTCAACATTGTCTGATTCTTGTTGTCTTGGAAGCTTGGTTTTGTTTGGAGTCTTCCAATCTCGGATGAACAGTTACTTTGCTTGTTTGTGGTTTGTTTAAACGGTGCTGTTCGCGCTGTTCCAGCAGCAACTTGTACTGCTGCATTTGATTGTTGTTCCACAAAATTGTTATTAAATGTTTTATTTGACACAACATAGTGCGGGCCATTGAAACAGTCTCTCATGTGTTTTCTTGTCAAGGCTAGAGTCTATTTGCTACTCCGCTTTGATTTTGCCTCAGCTTTTGCACATCCTTTGAAAATGAGGCCTTGATGTTGTTGTTGTGCCACGGCTGAAAAAGTTTAATGTAAGGTCTAATGGAAACATGTATATATTAACATTAAAAGGAAAAACTGCTATATTATATATATATATACTGCAGATTGTCCTCCACCTCCAACGCAAGAAAGCAAACACAACGAAATGAACCGCACCAAGTTAATTTTGCTGAAGACACCATGATCGCATCACAGATGGTTGTGGAGCATAGGAAGAAACTTAATTAACGAACATCAAACAACCATAAACGAACCATCTGACAGGGGGATTTAGTCACAACCACAAAGAAAACTAGGAACGCCAAAGTGCATCGACTTCCAGACTAGAACAACTTGCCGACCGATCTGAGTGCACTTGGGCCTGGCGTGCACCAGCAGATGAGCTGCGAGTGCGAACAGGTCTTGGTGGCTTGCCAAGCAAGTGTGCCTTCAAGCGAGCACAAAGCTAATTTGAAGGTCTAAAGTCTAGCATGGGGGCTTGTGTGGGACTTCATTCTTCTTTGCAATCGGTTTACTTGCTTGAACGGCTCTGAATCCAATGTGCATTTGGAAGTCCACAGGATTTCAAGACACAAGTTCCTTGATTCTTCGCATCTGCGGAATTCGCAGTGCTAGGGTTTGGTCGTTTGGGATGAAGGAATTGGAATTCTGGAGGTCACCAGTTGATCAGATTCACATGACCACGACATGGGCTAAACTGACAACTCGAGTCCATCGGAATCTTGCAGGTCAGTCTGTGTTCAGGTGAAGCGGACTGTCGCTCTGCTGCAAAAGGAATCTCTCCATATCCCGAATCCCAATCGTAGCGTCCTTGCTCCTAGTAGCGATGCCCTTTGCTCCTAGTAGTGTCCTTGTTCCTAGTATAAGGCCCGGAGCCCCTAGTAGCTTCTTGCTCCTGAGATTGGGAGATTCACTTGAATTGAGGTTTGTGATGGCTAGACTCGTTGGGCAATCTGGAGGGCTTTGCCCCTTGGCTTTTTTGGACTTGGGTTGACCAGCATCACCGGCTTTGAAACCTGTAGTTGTCCAGGTTTCCAGTCGTCCTATTTGCGACTACAGAAGAAGTCTGAAGCGCGACCCTCACACATTTCAAGGCGGTTCAAGCCCGCCCGCATGACCACAGGTCTCAGGAGCCTGGAGCGCAACAGCCCGCCAGACTTCTCCTCGAGCCCCATCTGCAATTACACCTGCAACAAAGTTTTGTTGCAAAGAAGCATTGAAAATCCAAAAAGCTGCAAACTCGACTCTAGGAAGCTCCTGCAGCTTTGAGAGGAACGCTGCGCTGCGCCATTCAGGGCTTTTCCCTCCAACATCGGAACGGCGCCAAAGCTTATCAACATCTTATCAACAAAACACCAGTTGCTGCAGTCCTTCAGGCAGGCACATGTCATCCCAGCACAATCAATAAGTAGACTTGAGCAATTTACACATTGATTCAATGTTCTATGTCTCAAGAGCGGGGCCTGTTCAATTTGTCGTTCTCTCCACAACTTTGAGTTTCCTCAACTTGTGGATCTCCGACAGCATCCTTTTGACAACGAGAAGTCTAGGTGAGATGGAGAGGCTGATCGTTCTTGCTTGGCATGGTTTACTTGAGCCAAAGAGCAAAGGACAAGGATCTGGTCTTGGCTTGTTTTGTTGAGAATGCAAATGCCAAAGCAAATGCTTTTCCAGATTCCCACCTGCCTCGCGGAGATCAAAATTCTCGGCATTGGGATACCTTGTCTTGACAGCTAGACTGTATGACTTGGAAGCAAACCACTTTTTGGAGCTTGGTCGGGAAAGCTCAGCGCAACCCTGTTCAACTGTCTTCAAAACCATCCGCCACCTTGCCATCGCCTCTGCCAACAAAAACTCGACCCATGGCCACTCTTGAGCCTCGCAACGGTGGACAAGCAGAAGTCCAAAAGAGTGACCATGGATGGGAGGTGCGTTGATCAGTTAACTGAAGAATCTAAGGGCTCCACATCAGCCGCAAGTGCTATCAAATACACATATGTGGTGAAGTAGGGCTGAACGCCCAGCTTCTCCATCTCAAGCTTCCACATCACAGCGAAAGCCTTCAGCTTGCCGCGGTGTTCGGTGTTGAGGCACGTGTGGAATCCCTTTTTTTAGAGCGCCACTGTATTCCCACTTACCATGCAGGCCCGTATCCTTACACAGCAGCACTCTTGAGGCTCAACTGGCAAGCTTCAATTCAATCTGTTTGACTCAGCTGGCTCAGTTCACAGCACAGAGGTCAAGCTGATGTGATTCGGCCTCAGTCAGACAATTCTTTACAATGCAATCTCTTTGAGCCACGAGTTTCGAGTTGTTTTTGCCCTGGGGGAGGAAGAGGTAAGCTAGTAGTAGCAATTGAGTAGAACGCTACTAGCTACTGGACGTAGGATAGCTCACGCTTCTTCAAGGAAGCTCCCCCTGCCTGAGGGCGGGGGGAGCTTCCTTGAAGAAGCGCTCGCACTAATCATTTGGTTCTTAGATGTTTAGGGAAACGCCCTGGCTTTTGCCAAATGAGATTCTGGCTCTTCGTTCTGATCGTGCATCTCGTCAAGCAACCTTTCAAGCGAATCAGCCATGAAAGGCTGACAGACTTGGGTCAACTAAGGATGCAACTCAAGAACAGCAGGCCATGCACCACCATGCAGATATGCACACATCATCTCCTTCGGAAAAAATAGAAAAAGCATACATACTGACGGACTGGTACCAGTTCAAAAAAAAAAGAATTATATAGCAACCCAAGCCCAAGGGTCAAGCTGTATATGTCACAACTTCAGGTTGTAAGTGCGCCTGGCTTCAGCTCCACGTGTAAGTTTGAAGCATAAAGCGAAACTTCTGCATTCAATCAGTGTATGCCAGAGGTGTTTCCAATAAACCGCACAGCATACGTAGATAGGAATCAATAATGATATGCAAGTATAGCGAAGGATGCTGGGCAAGGGAGCATGGAAACAGAAGAGAGGCTGTGCTCTGCAACACCACAGAGGGGCACACCGGCCAGAAAGCATTTGGAAATCCAGAGCTACCAAGTTGCTATTGCATTGTCGGCTGAGGAAATTCTGTAAACTTGGAAGACGGACGAAAGCAATATTGTGATAGATTTCAACTGATTGTTGGTTCGGGGTCACACCACGAAGACAGGGCAGAGGGCAAACCACAAAGGAAAGACAAAGAACTAAGGAACAAAGGTGTACAACTGTGTTTTCATGTAAATGTCCTTGGCCCTGGTGGATTTGCCCTACCCTTTCCCTCCCAAGCGTGCCCTTCCGAATCTTGGAACAGTTTTGGAGATACAGAGACACAGAAACAATTTAGTGCCAAATGCCAGGTATGTGCCACTGATATATCACTAAATGATGTTACTTCCTTCTATGTCCTTTTCTTGTGTCTTTATTATTGCTTGAAGGTGTGAAACGGACTGAAGGGCTCAGCACGAAGCACATACATAAAGGGTGCATTCCACCCCTTGCTGGTACGGTTGTTGTCTTCCCACTTTGTATGCTGCTTGGGTTGGCCACGGGTCCTCCAAGAACACGAAGGGCTTCTTCTATATGTTTACGCTATTTTGATGTGATGTTTGGTCTGACATCAGAACAGGTTCTTCTTTTATATTATTCTGCAAATTATAATTTTGTTCATCGCCACCTACCGTAATTATTGTTTGGTTTCTTGTATAATAGGACAACTTACTATATTAGGTCTGCAAGAAGCCCAAGAGACTAGGGTAGAATTAAGTAGAGCAGCCTCGGCTGGAGTGGAGAAAGACAAAACAGAATGGCAGGATCTACTTTGTCAAAAGTGTTGTCTCTTCAGTGCCGTTCTCCTTGTGACCTATCTAGCGTAGTCTTCTCTACTCTGACTCTGACTCACAATGGTGTGGAATGAAGGAGAGTACGCTTGGGTGCAGGCGGTCTGGCAGGTTTTTGGCGCGCAATTGCATAGCCCCAAAGCATGAGAGGCCCAAGAAACCCAGAAGTTGCAGGAAAGGGTAAATGAAACGGCCCATAAAAGAAGAGCAAGGCTCAAGAAAAAATCTTTTGTCTTCCCTTTGCTTCTCCTGCTTTAAAGAGTCCCTGAATCCTTGCTTGTGTTTTTGTCGTCTGGTTCACTGGCAAGCACTTGGGGTCAAACAAAGCGTATTGCGTGTGAAAGGAAAGGAATTAACCCAATGCGTGCATGTCTCTTTCTTCCAACAGGAATTTGAAGGAAGGTGTAAAGGACAGGTTTCGAACCAACTTGCCCATTATCCTTGAAGGTGTTGCGCTCCCCTTCCAGTCTATGCCCTTGGGTTTCTGCTGATGTTTTTCCACTCTAGTTGCCATCCCAGCCTATGACACTTGATAATCTCTCTCTCCCCTGATGCCAGCTTTTAGTCGTCCGTGGCAGTGAAAGAGAATTGGGTGCAGAAGGTGGGGGATTATATATATAAATTTAGCTAAAAATCGTGGAGGTAAAGAAACTGAAAAAGGTGGGGGGCAATACGTCCTTATAATAATGGTTTGTCAGTGTATTTGGAGTGATTGGGCGAAAGGGTGTGGAGATGAATGAATGATACAAACCCACATGCACTATGGAAAATATGTTTTTGCATGGCTACCCATATACCGCAAACGGACGAGCGATAAACCCAAAACGTCCCTAACTCATATGTATATATATATATAGACATAGATAGATAGATAGATAGATAGATAGATAGATAGGTAGGTAGGTAGATAGATAGATAGATAGGTAGGTAGGAAGATAGATACGTAGATAGATAGATAGATAGATAGATAGATTAGATTAGATTAGATTAGATTAGATTAGATTAGATTAGATTAGATTAGAT